ACCATTTGTGTTGTTGAAAACAGGTATTTGCTACCCATTTATAAACTATCAAGGGCTCATGCGGGAGGGGGGAGCGGGGAGGGAGGGGAAAAATGAGGACCTAATGTCGGGGGTTTAAATGGAGAGAAAATGTTTTGAGAAACGATGTACAAATGCGCTTTACACAATTGATGTGTGTATGGATTGGGATAACAGTTGTATGAGCCCCTAATAAAATGTTTAAAAAGGAGAAAAAGAAATACAAAAAAAAAGAACTCAGAGTTTCTGTTCAAGGGGATGGAAAACATGGAAGCCAGATGGTGGTGGTTTTACAATACCATAAATGAAGCTAATGTCACCAAAAGATACATGTACAAAATGTTTATATGGCAAATGTATGTGTATTTCTATATATGGAGGCTTGAAAAACTACAGAGAAAAATTACATTCTTTCAAATCCACTTTTCCTCCTCATTATTTGTCACTATTTGATATATGTATCATACTTTTTAAAGTTAATATGGATCATTGCGAAAAATGAATGATACAAGGAATAAATGGAAAAATAATAATAAAAAAAGAAAAAAGGTATTTGCTAAGAACAATCCTTTCCGCTTTGTTTCCAACGTTTGCATTCCAATCACCAGTAATTATCAGTGCATCTTAATTGCATGTTTGATCAATTTCAGACTGAAGTCATTAGTAGAATTCTTCAATTTCTTCATTACTAGCTAGAGTGGTCGAGGCATGCATTTGAATAATAGTTGTATTGATTGGATTCCTTGAATGGTTATAAATATAATTTTATCACAGTCAGCACTGTACTTCAAGATAGCTCTTGAAATGCCCTTTCAGACGATGGATGGAGTCATTCTTCTTGTGTCATCCCAAGAATTGAAAATCATATGACTTTCTGATATAAAATGGTCAATACCAGCCCATTTCAGCTCACTAGCACCTAGGATATCGATCTTCATGAGTCCTTGTTTAAATGACATCCAATTCATTTTTGATGACTTTTCATTTTTCTACATCCATACTTTCTACATTCCAGTTTCTGATTCCTAGTAGATTTTTGCAGCCATTTCTTCTCATTTTGAGTCATGCTCCATCAGCAAACGAAGGTCTTGAGGGTTTAGCTCCCACAGGCTTTCCTCTAGTAAAATCATTATGGTTGGCTCTACTTTGGGAAGGTAGCTTTTCCTCAGTCACATTTTGAATGCCTTCTGACCTGAGGGCTCATCTTCTGGCACTATCTTGGACAATGTTCTGCTTTCCATTCATTAGGCCTTCAGTATCTGACAATGTTTCCATCTAGGCATAAGGTCTTCTAGTGGCTGATTCCTCCAAAGTGGACATTGGATTGATTCCATCTTTGTCATCTGTTTTTAGTCTAGAAGTTCCACGGAAACTGGTTCACTTTTGGTGACTCTACTGGCATTGGAAATACCAGTGGCATAGCTTTCAGCATCACGGCGAAGCACAAGTCACCACAGTATGACAAACTGATACACAAGTGGTGGGTAATAGTATCAATGGCAAAGGAAGAGAGGGCTTGGAATTGAGGAGATTAGTTACCAATCCTTGAGACTTCTATAAAGGCTTGCATTTGTAGACACTGGGAGATGACTGGTTTCCTGACTAGTCAAGAATGGCCCCACTAAGAAAATAGAAATTTAAGAATTAGGAAATTGGAAAAGAAAGCAACCAGGATGGGGTATTGGATTCCCAAGGACTGAAATAAGAGCATGCCAGGAGGGAAGAGAATAGTTATCAAAGGATGTAGGGTAGGACCGTGGAATTCATGATTTCTTGGGAAAAACGTGCTAGTATCTCTGAGTGGATGGAGGGTGGGGAAACCTATGGCAAAGGTATTTTCACTAAGATGTCAGTTAGTGACAAAGTTTAGACTCTCCCAGAAATTTGAAGATAGTAATATGTGATGGCAAGAAGGCAACCATTTAACCCAAAGGAGTGGACTGCTTAGGCATCAGTGAGGTGATAAGAGATTGAAGATAGGGGATGTTGTCTGACCACTCACTCCAGAATTTATAGTTCTGTTTACTTATAAGACCATCTTGCATCTGTGTAGGAGCAATAATTTCTTTTCTCAACACATTTATAATCAAAGTATGTGGCTTTAATGCTCGCCTGCTTACCCCACCATAGTCTTCCACTCGTGCTCATAGTGCTGTTTGGAAATTAGACTGGGAGCAGTGGAGTTGAGGGAGGCTAGAAACCATGCAACCTGATCATTTCTGTTTGTAGCATTCCCCGGAGGAGCTTTGAAGGTATCTTTACATCAGACTGAGTTTTTTCCAGTTCCCGCGAGGAACTCTGAAAGGTTTCTAAGGATAGTTGGTTAGAAGCCCAGCCACCTTGAAATATCTTGGAATTGAGAGGGTAGAGTAAGAAGTGGCTTTCCTTACTCCTGTTTTTGGGAAGCATGCTTTTTGAGGCCTCTAATGATACAGGGAGATTTGAATCTCCATAACCCACGATGAGGTAGAAATCTTGAGAACCAAATGGGTGAAGTGGCTTGTCCAACGTTCTGGACTACAATTTAGTGATCATGCCCACTGGTTTTAGTGTTCATCCTGTGAAGGAGCACTGACTTGGAGGAAGAAGGAATAGCGGTCGACTTATTTTCATAATTCTTCCCTTTTGGGCCATTAGGAATGTTAGATCAAGGAAATAAGAATGAGAAGATGGTAAGATAATTTGATTATATAAAATTAGTATTTAGCTCCGTCATAACTGTCTTCTCTTCCCTTGCTTCTATTTTTTCTTCTTCTCCTTTGCTTTCACCCCATCTCCCATTAAGTAGACTAATAACCTCCAGTGCCAGGTTACTCAGAAGACTATTTCAAGGAAAGCTCTAAAGGTCGTTCTTCCATTGGAAAACCACATCTTGCAATTGCCTTGCCATTGATTCCTGGGTGGAAGGCCCAGTTTAAAAAAATCAATCCACATTCCTTTGAGGTGAAATGATTTCAAATATATGTACTTGGTATTCAAAACTCTTCCAGCAAGAGCCATGACAAATATTATTTTGTAGGTCATTCTAGTTTTCCTTCACCACAAAGTTTGATATTTAATACAATTAGAGCCCAGGGGGGCAAATGGCTCTACTCCTGCCATTGCTTTCTGTGATGGCTTGTACTCCTGCCTACCAACTGCAGCTGTTTGGGTGTTTGCCCTCAGAGGCAAGAGGTGAAACCAGAGGGTCATTTAGTATGAGGTAAACATATTCTAAGAGGTACTACTTTATTTTAAGAGAGAAAAATAAACTTCTTTTATATCCCCTAAAAGGTCTTTAAGATGTCATTAATGCTCACAGAGGGGATTACTCAGAAATTGAGGCAAGAGCCACTGAAATAGCAAAGTGTAGCATTCCGTTAGTTATCTAATCATAGAAGAGAAAGAAAGTAGGTGTTTAGTTTCTGGAAGGACAATTCAGTCATTCTTCATGCTCCATTGTTTTTGGTTTTAAATATTATGGTGCCTTCATTTTACAGGTTTGAAATGATGGGGACCTTAACTGACAGTGGCTAAGTAGACAGATTCTAGAATCAGGTATCAGTTCAGATCCTGGAATTGCCAGTTACAAGTTGTGTGATCTTGGTAAATCAGTTAATTTTTAAACCTTAGTTTCTTTTTCTGCAAAATGGGCATAAGCATCTTTACATCAGAATTTCTTGATAAGATCCAATAAAAAGAGAACGCATGCAAAAGCCTAAAATATAGTGAGGAGTCAATGCATGTTCTATTAGTATTGATAATATTATATTAACCTTTGTCATCCTCACCAACAACCAGAGAATAATTTCATTCTGGTTTTTAATAACAAAGTTTATTGAGGTATGCTTTACCTACTATAAAATGGACTAATTTCCCTTCTGGTTTTGACATATGGGGAATAAAAGGTGATACCACTAGCCAAGCCATATTTTAAAAACCCGACTCTCCATTATCCTACAAGTGTTTGTTTTCTCAAGAGTATTAGTTTGAGTTTGTGTGTCCCATTCAGCTGCCGTTCAGCTAGCTGCAACTCAACACATGAATTGACTTTTTACAATGTGGCAACCTTGTGGTAAATGTAATGGAGAAAAGAAACATAGAAACACAGATGACCAAGCCCTCAAGAAGCAGCATGGTCTGATAGAAAGAAGAGATCTATGGCCAGGAGGCAAGAGTTAACTTTTTTGTGTGACCTCAGATAAGTCACTGAAGATTAGAAGCTCCCACCCCCTCCTCAAATGATAAAGGAAGTCAAGATTCATTGTGATAAGGGATGCTCGATGTAAATTACTTGCTAGGTTACTGTAATTCACAAATAGGAGCTATAAGTACCAATCTGTGAGCTCCGTATTTCAGATGCCCTGAGAGGTTGTCCAGGTTGTGGGTCTGAGCTATCAGGGACTACTTCTTGGGAGAAATGGGCCTTGAACTGATCAAACCCAGATAGGATTTTAATTGGTGCAAAAGACCAGTGAAGGGTGGGGAGACACCCCTAAGGAGAGAAGAGAATTGAGTAAAGACTTCAGAGGCTGGAACTAGTGTATAGGCCAGCACCACAGGATGGGAAACATGAAGGGGATAAAGTTATTATGGTACTTGTAGTAGATTGATTTTCTTCTGAAAGATCAGTGGAGAAGAATGAATAGTGGTATACTGAACGCTCTCCCTTAAGACAAGTTAATACCATACTCATCTGTACTGTTAGCTCAATCAACAACTTCGTGTTCACTGTGCTTGCTCTTTTTCAGTTGCGTAGGCCAGTGCCTTGCACATGGTAGGTGTTAATACGTGCACAGTCAGTGTAGAATGGATGAATGATAGATAATTCCATCTGCTAGTCTCACCTGCCAACTTCATTGTTACTGAGAGGCCAAAGCCACTGGTGCAAGGATTGTCTTTTAATTCCCTGTATCCAGTACATCCCTATCTACAGTTGAGCTTAATGAAATTCTTTGCGATGATGCCAACAATCAGTATGTTTTTTCTTCACCCTGTCCCAGAAGACTCCTTACCTTCAACGAACAATAAAGTGACCAGCAAGTCGTGTGAGTACAATGGGACCACCTATCAACATGGTGAGCTGTTCATGGCTGAAGGGCTTTTTCAGAACCGGCAACCCAATCAGTGTACCCAATGCAGCTGTTCGGTAAGACCCTGCATCTCGATGTTTCTGCTAGCCCTACCCAAACAAGAGAGTTTTCTCTGTCCTTGTGCATTGGGTTTGAGTGCACATGGTAGTATGTTTGATTGGCAGAAGACTTGCATCTAAATTGTCATCCTCTCTTCGCATCTGGACTCCCCAATCTTCCTCTAACCCTCAACAATTCTTCGTGAAGGGGTCCGATCCTATCAAGCTTTAGAAGTGCTTGAATGGGAAAAGGCGAGCTGCTGCTTGATCTATTCCTTTTCCCCACAGTAGGTACACCACTCAAGTAGTCACATCCTCTGAAGGACTCAGGCTCTTGACACTTTGGGAATCCTACAGGTGGGAAGTCACAGTCACCATCCACGGCCACTTGATTCAATTCACAGGAAAAGAGGGAGCTGCTGGCTCCTGTATCTAGTCTTCTGCTAGCCAGTTCATTCCTGATGACCTGCAATGAGAAAACTCTCACTAAATGCTTGGCTATGTTAACTGCTGAGCCATTGCCTCATTGAAAGAACTATATGTATTTCCAGAATAAAATATACCAGTTATATCTTTAATTAATTTTCTAGTCAAGAGAATATAATCGATAGCATCAGAAAATGGTTGTTTAAATTGAAGTCTGAAAAAATCAAAATCGATGTAATGAAAAACAACTATTCACTCTGTAAGGGGCATTAAAAAGTCCCTGGGTGGCACAGATGCGTAAGTTTTGGGCTACTTACCATAAAAGAGGGTGTTTAAAATCCATCCAGAGTTACCTGAAGTGAGGCCTGGCCATCTGATTCCCTCTGGAGCACAGTTCTACTCTGTCCACATGGGGATGCCATGAGTCTGAATCAATTCAGCAACAACCATCACCACCAACACTGAAGGCGATTAAAGATTGCCAAGGTAAGTTATATAGAATCTCTTCCCTTAGGATTTAATTTTTTTTCTTTTAGTTAAGCTATAGCATCTCTATGGTTTGGGAGAATTTAATTACAATGAAGCCTTCCTAATGATCCTCCAAGATCCCTTCTGGCCCTAGAAGAATGTGCTATTAAGAACAAAGATCATGTTTTAGAGAAGACTGTCTGGAGTATAGAATTTTAGGGATTGGAGACTGTGAAAATATAGACACAACCAGCAAGTAAATTAGAGCCTCTCCCTTGCCTCATGCTGAACTGAGCAGTGGAATTCAGAGAGTCTTGCATTGCTTCGGGGCTTTGCTCTTTGATTTGGGAGAGAGTCTCATGTGAATATGACAGATGTCAGCAGTCACACAAATCCCCATTCTATAAAATCTCCAGCATTCTAGTGGGGGCAAGTTGGGGACTGTAGGATACAGGGAACAGAGAAGAAAAGAACAAGAACAGTTGGGTGGTCTGTAGACCCCGTGGAAGCCCTTACACTAAGCATGGTGTACCACCTTGAGTCAGAATGCTCAAATAAACTGGAATTATGGACAACCTTTTGTAGCCTAGTCTCTGGGATGGAGAAATAGTAAAAGTGTGTGTGTGTGTGGGGGGGGGTGATTAATGACTAATAGAATTTAGGAAGTGCCTAGAACCATGTGAGGGCAGTATAGAAGCCTGATCCATATTTTGACCCCTGGTTAGGAAGTGAGCTATTTTAAGCCTTTCCACAGATCCCAGATCCTTCTGATCTTAATTCTGTTTCTCCCTGGCAGGAGGGAAATGTCTATTGTGGTCTCAAGACCTGCCCCAAATTAACCTGTGCATTCCCAGTCTCTGTTCCGGATTCCTGCTGCAGGGTATGCAGAGGTAAGTGTCTTGTATCCCAAAAAACTAGGGTGCTGCCATCCTGAATAGTCGGAAGGAATTAGAGGAGATTGCCTGTCCAGTGCCCTGCAGAAAAGGAATTTTTAAAATAAATGGTACTTTTAGATGTTAGCGTTGCTTCCACTCACCATAAGAAAAGCACTGATTTTAAGAGCCAGCGCTTGAAAGAAACTGGGCTAAGTGAGCCTGGAGAAGAAGGGTGGGAGCCTTGTAAGGTAAAAGTGAGCATCTTTATCTCTCTCATCTTAAACCCTTCTAGCTTGGTCGCTAAGTGATTGTCTTGTAAAACACATGCCATTTGCATACAGGGCCTTAAAAGGAAGAACCCACCTTGCAAAGCATTGTTGCACCCTTTTTGAAGAGAGTGCAGAGCAGGGGCAATAGAATGGAGACAAACCCCATAAAATGAAGTGGAACGCATCATCTTTTCATCAAATTATATACAAGTGGAATCATCACCATTTTTTTTTCTTCTTGGATTCTATAAATAAATAATGACACCATTATTTCCTCCAGGTTTCTAGGATCACACATAATCACCTTTAATCCCTCCTTTTTGCCTTATCTCAGGTTAGCAAGTCTGTCCGACACTCTGTCATCCCTCCCTACCAACCCTTTCCCACTGTCACTATCCTAATTATGCCTTCTTTTTATACTTCCGAGGGAGTAAGATGGGAATTTCTATTCCCATTAACAGTTACAGTCCTGGAAATTACCATATCCTATAGGACCGCTATGAGTCAACTTTGACTCGATGGTAATGAGTTTGGTTTCTTTAGTTCTTTTTTTAAAAATTCATTTCATTGGAAGTTCATATAGCTCTTTTCACAATACATTTATACATACATTGTGTCAGGCACATTTGTACATATGTTGTCATCATCATTTTCAAAACATTTTCTTTCTACTTAAGCCCTTGGTATCAGCTCATTTTCCCTCCTCCCTTCCTCGCTCATGAGCCCTTGATACTTTATATATATTTTTTCATGTCTTACACCAACCGCTGTCTCCTTTCACCCATTTTTCTGTTGTCCGTCCCCCTGGGAGGGTGTTATATGTAGATCATTGTGATTGGTTCCCCCTTTTTACCCCCACCTTCCTCTTCCCCTCCTGGTATATCTACTTTCATTTTTTTGTCCTGAGGGGTTTATCTGTCCTGGATTCCCTGTGTTTCCAGCTCTTATGTGTACCAGAGTACATGTTCTGGTCTAGCTGGATTTGTAAGGCAGAATTGGGTTTATCATAGTTGGGGGCGGGGCTGGAGGAAGCATTAAAGAACTAGAGGAAAGTTGTATGTTTCATTGGTGCTATACTGCACCCTGACTGGCTCATCTTTTCCTTGTGACCCTTCTGCAAGGGTATGTCCAATGGTCTGCAGATGGGCTTTAGGTCTCCATTCCTTGATTTCCATCATTCACATTGATATGATTTGTTGTTCTGGGTCTTTGATGCCTGATACCCGATCCCATTGACAACTCATGATCACACAGGCTGGTGTGCTTCTTCCATGTGGACTTAGTTGCTTCTCAGTAGATGGCCACTTGTTCATCTTCAAGCCTTTAAGATCCCAGATGCTATTTCTTTTGATAGCCAGGCACCATCAGCTTTCTTCATCACATTTACTTATGCATCCATTTTGTCTTTAGTGATCTTGTCAGGAAGGTGAGCATCACAGAATGCTGTGTTATTAGAGCAAAGTCTTCTTGCAGTGAGGGAGTACTTGAGTAGAGGCTCAATGTGCTTCTGCTACTTTAATACCTAACATATAAATATATGTACATAGATCTATTTCCCTATACTTATATATATATTTACATATGTACATGCCTGTATTTAGAGCTCTATAAATGTCCTTTGCCTCCTAGTTCTTTCCTTTATTTCCTTTTACTTTCCTCTTGTCCACTATAATGCTTAGCTCTCATTCGGCTATCAGTAATTCCTCTCGGCTACATTGCCCTTGATCAAGCTCCAGCAGGCATCCTATGCCCTCCTCACCATTGATTTTAAATCAATTGTGGTTCCCTTGTCCCTGCATTTGTTGACACCCCCTGCCTTTTCCCCGCCATCCCTTCTCCCGTGTCCCCCTGGAACTGTTGGTCCCCATGTTTTCTCCTCTGGATTGTTTATCCCACCTATCTTATCTAGATAGACATACAGAGACAATAATAAGCACAAAACAAGATAGAGCAAAACAAAGCAATAAAAGAAAACAAAACAACAACAAAAAACCAACAATAGCAAAAAAGAAAAGCCTATAAGTAGTTCCACATCTTTTTGTTGACCTTTGGAGTGTTTTCATATCCAGTCTGATGGGGTGCCATGCCCTAACCCCAAAGTCTATTTTTGGTATTCCCTGGGGAGCTCATTGCTTTGCTCCCCTTGATGCTCTGTTGCACACCTTAGCATTCAGCCCTGGTGTGGTGGGGTGAGATTGGGCACAATTCCCACACCGTGCCTCCAGTGTTGCCCTACGTTGTGCTATGGGTCAGTGAGGGATGTTGTGTGTCTTGGTGGGGCCGGGCCTATGGTCCTCTCTGTGCATTTGCTCTGAGCAGGAATATCATCCTTGGGGCTTGGTGGACCAAGATGTCTTCCACTCTCTCTCCTTTCCTTGGCATGTTCTCCTGTGTGCAAGCCATACATTTTTGCAAGTCATGTAAACATGTTGGGTGTTACTTTCCTGTACACTGTGTGCTTTATATAGGCACACATTCTTTGAGTGGGCATGTTATATGCAAAACATGGTACATGTGATGTACCATTGATAATATAGCCTCTTTTCCCTTTACTTAATATACTTGAGATGCTTAAGATTCTTTACTGCCATCTTCCAGAAAAATCTTTGTGAATGGGACCACCTTAGCTGCGGACACTCTAGTGTGGTGTAAAACCTACACAATCATATGTGGCATACATATCAGCAAATATAGGGCCTTTGTTATTATGGGGCTCACATTATACCAAGTAATAAGCAAAGAAGCAACCGGATCCCCAAAACAGAAACAATGGAAGTGCAAGGAAGGGAAGAAACAAAGGAGTGAAAAAGAAACTTGTGATTAAGGAATCTCAGTTGAGTGGTCAGGAACGTCCTCCCTGAGGAGGTGATATTTAAGTGCAATCCTGAAAGATGAGAGGAAGCCACCAGGCAAATCACTTGGAGAAAGAGCAGAGCATTCCAGGTGGAGAAAAGACATTTCCAAGGCCCCAGTCAGGGAATGATTTAGAGTGTTCAAGGAACCAAAGGACCAGTACACCTGGAATGTCGTGATCATGGACAAAACTGGCATATGCTGAGGTTAAAGAGAGGTGGCTAAAAGTCCTATCACGTAGAGCCTAGCAAGCCTTGGGAAGGAGTTGGGGTTTCAGTGTTCAAGTGCAATGGGAATCCATTGGAAGGTTGCCAGGATGATATAATCCCATTTATGTGTCAAAACAGCTCAGGGAGTGTTGTGTCCAAACTTGAATTGAGGGAGAGGGGCAGCAATACAAATGGAGAGGCAAGGTTAGTGTAGTTACCTGGGAAGTGAGAAGAGGGCGGGTTCTTGGTCTGGGAGCGTAGGGCAGAGTAGTGGTAGAGAGTGGAGCCTCTGCAGCCAGACTGTCTCTGTTCTCTTCTCAACCCTGTTACATTCTAGCTGGGTGATCATGAGCCACTTACCTTGACCTTTCAAGTAAATCTGTAAAGTGAAGGTGACGTCAGCACTTACGTCAAAGATGCAGTGCAGTTCAAATGAGACAATTCAGAGAGGTGGTTTAGCAGAGTCTTGCATAGTAAGACTCAATAAGGAAAAATGAACAAAAGTTAAATCTATTTAGAACATGGATACTCAAGGATGGATACATATGGAATCCCCTTGCAGATTGATGCCCAGACTAGTGAGGGGAGGTCACTCCAATGTGCAGCCAAGTTTGAGAACGACTAAGGTAGAGTTTAAAGTGATGGGGTTTGCTTGGACTGGGAGGTAGGTGATTCCTATACATTACTCTGGGAGCCTTGATAGTGTAGTGGGTTGGTTATGTGTTGGTCTGCTAACCACAAGTCAGTAGTTTGAAACCATCAGTTATACTCTGGGAGAAAGATGTGCCCTTCTACTCCTATAAGGAGTTAAAGTCTCAGAAACCCACAGAATTAGTTCTACTCTGCTCTAGAGGATCTCTGTGAGTCAGAATCAACTTGATTACAGTAAAAAATCCCAATATAACCCTTGCACATTCTTCCCAAAGATATCTTTAACTATGTTAAAAAGTCCAGCCCCAGACTTTGTCTGCAAATATATATTTTACGTAATATATTCCAGCTACAATTCTAAACTCTTTCTAAGTGTGAACTTATTTAATCCCATGACCATCCTATGTAGAATGAACTCTCTTTGTCTCCATTTTTGTAGATGAGGAAATGGAAGCCAGAGAGGTTAAGAACCTTATTCAAGGTCATGTAGCTAGTGAGTTTAGGAGCAAAGATTTGAATCCAAGCAGTCTGGTTTCAGACTCCAGGCTCTCAATCACTGCTCTCAGCCACTTGGAGGTATGATTGCCTGTTACCAGGAGAATACACATCAACCCTCTGACACTGACCATGGAGATCTTTCATGGTTTTTCCTTCGCTTACCTTTATAGGCTTATATTGTTCTATTCAGTGCCCCTCAAGCTCCAGTCATGTTATCCCTGGTTTCTTTTCTTTGTGTACTATAACTCTCTCCTCTAACTTCTAACCCAATGTTTCTCACATTGAAGTTTGCTTCACAAGCAAAATTAAGACGCCGGGAACAGTACCTCCAGAGATTCAGAGTTGGTGGCCTTGGACGTGGACCCCAGGAATCTGATTTCAATAGGTCCTGGAGTTCATCTGGTCGCTGGTGGTCCATAGATTAGCAATGCAAGAAATGATTCCAAAGGCTCTGCAGCTAACTAGGGAAAGCCAGCAACGATGGTGTTGCATCTGTGTTGGGTGCACTTAAATGGAACCTACTAAAGAGTTGAAG